TATCCGTGAATCTCCCCGTCCAAATATGTATCCAACATCACGCGTCGGCACCCCTGCACCGCGGACTCCATATATGCCACAACACGGCCATGCTCCTCCGCGCCATGGTTTTTTATCTAATGGGGCCGTTGCTCTCGTCCAACCCGGCGACCCTCGGCCTGGATGATAATGGCCTCGCTGGGCTACCCATCGCGTCCGGCGCGACCACTTTCCTGCGCGTAATCTAACATGGTACGTGGCTGGCCCAAATGAATGACACTCCGAATGTTGGGAATATCAATCCCTATCCCTAATGCGTTGGTGGCTGTGATGACGGCACCGGGGGTGTCCCGGAACCTTTATAATACCTCTTCTCGATCAATCGTCTTCTGATAATATGCGGCACACCCTAATGACTCGGCCATCCGGGTAATATGGGCCACGGCGGTGCTATATACAATCACCCGGCCAGGCTATGCTCGACGAATTCGATCCTGGATGAATACAATCACCTCGGGCATATCCACCCACTAGGACTGGTCGTCGAATGGGGCCGGGGGGCCACGGTATGCACCCGATATACCACATTAGGGCGGTGCGTACGTCCTCGATGCCATGTCACGTCCCCATCGGTCCATCTCATCCGCCGGCAAAACTCGGGCTCCGCACTGGGGGGCAATGTCGCGGTCAAACATATCATCTGCGTCTATGCGGATCGTAACTGGCCTAATTCCTTCATCAATAGCCGGAATTCGGGCTCCTAGCTCAACACCATATGGCACTCGTCGATCACAATCCGATCCAACCGCTTCAATATACGCTGCCGGTCCATAAAACGCTGGAATGCATCACTCAGTACGCTCTCGGGCGTGACTAATATAATGGACGCGCCATCGGGGGGCCACTAGCGATCCCACGCCGCGCATGAAATTCCTAACTCCTGGCACCGGCGCTATATGTCCCATCGTAATGAAATCAATAGCAAAACCACAACGGTCATCCCACCACGACTCACCCACACGGGCAACATGAATAACATGCTTTTGCCACCCCCGGTAGGTATCACGGCCACAATCGGGCTCTCGCCATGCTGGATGGACCGCAATACGGGCTGTTGCATCCCCCGCAATTGCATGGTGGGGTCCCCTATTATGTGTTGGAATGCCTCGCTCACATTCGCGCGGGACATATCATATCGTCGTTGGATCTGGGCTTCGGCTGACCCGTGCACCCATGGTGGGACCTTGGGCGGGCCATCGGCGATCGACTTGCCCTACCGCGCATATGTGGATTCGAATGCCAAAAAATGATGCTAATCCTGACTCGACTGCCGAAATAATTGACGATAGCGGGTGGTGCTGTTGGATAACTCGGTCATTAACCGCCCATACATCATGCTGGCCGTGCTAGGTAAATGACCGGCCTGCAAATCGGCAATCCGCGCCCGGATCCTATCCTCATCCAATTCGTCCTCATCGTCAATATCGGGAATGCCGCCCTCCTGATCATCCCCAACATTGGACCGGAACTGGCTGCTCCCGCGTAAATACCGCCGACTGATGGTAATAGCAATATCCCGATATGCCTGAATGTTGATCGCGGCGCCATGCAACCCGGTGCGGGTCTGTTCCTTCAACATCTCACGGAATCGGGGCGAATTCCACTCCCTCTGATTTTCGGGGTCGGGGGACTAAATATAATCGGCCCGACGTCGCTCGATGGTGGCGGGCTGGCCGCGGAATCCTCGCTGATATGACTGCATCGCCTCAACAAATGGCAATACTAACCACAAATACCAAACTACCAACTCCCCCAACTCACGCGGTAAATACCGGCAAATCACCTTGGTGTCGTTGTTAATATGAAACCCTTTGTGATATCGGCTGACAAATATCACCATCCCATCATCAATGAACACATTCCGTCGCTCACGCTCGCTGTTGCGATGCCGAATGCTCAATAACTCGGTGGCGCGGCTGGGTTGCCCGGCACATACATGGATGGCCACACTTAACAACTCCCGGAACTGACGAATAACGCGGAAATACCGATCGATGCCACCTATATGAAACCCTTGGCCCTCGGACGTGATAAACTGTCGGCGTAATGGGCGCTCACGGCACACCCGCTCCATTAACCACTCCGGTCCATGCACCGGCCACTGCGTGCGTGTGTCCTGGATGAAATTCCACCCGCGGGCACTTTGGCTGGCGTCGTCGTATAAATGATCCTATGGAATCACGGGCGCGGTGGCCGGGGGGCAAAACATCAATTGTTCCACCAATATCTGCCGGGTCTTGCCCACCAACCTATGCACGAACCCGCAAAAATCGCCCATGGTAAAATGGATCTGCTTATACAATAACTCATCCCCGGATTTCCATTCAATCTGGCCTTCCACGGGCGTGTTGGTGAATACGGTGCGTCCATATGTCCGCAAATCGATCAACCATTGGATGGGCCCATAGGTGCCGCGAATCATGAATGAATCAACAAAATACGTCACCCACTCGGGGAATGTCTCTGGGGGATGTTACGCCGGCTCCTGGGTCAACTGACCTGATCGGCTGCGGGACATGGGTGAACTGCTGGCATAGATGGGCATAGATGATGGGGCGGCACTCTCATAACCTTCATCCACGGCTTCATATGTATAATTGTTTAACTCGATCATATCGCCGGTCATCCAACGCTTCCCACCACGGCCCACGAACCCTTGCCGGATCTCTAATGATCGGGGGTCCAATCGTAATGCTTTTTGCAAAATGAAAAACCGGACGATCTTTAAAATGCTGGATATCTGCGGGGGAAAACTGGCGGCGGTGGCCCACCCGGACTCATTGTATCCTAAAACGGCGGTGGCACATATGAACGCGTATCCATACTCATCGTTCCGGATCTTTTGCCAGATCAACTCGACCCAAAACTCCAACAATGCCATCTCAATGGGCTGTAATTCAAATGGTTCGGCATCACTGGTGTCCATAGGATCGGGGCTATACGGCGGGGCCTGCGCGCGGCGCCATACAATATTCCATAAACACTGCTGGGATTCGGAAAACTGATACTCGGGTGATCGCCAATCATGGTGAATCTGGGACTGGGTTAACTCCTGAATGGAACGATGGTATGGTGGGATTGGGGGTTGGGGTTCACTGGTGGGGAATGCGTGAATATATATATCCGGGTCTTCGGCACATTTACGGGCACGCGGGTTGATCCATTTGCGTTACCCAAACACACCGAAACTGCGAAAAATGGATTAACATACCTAGGTACGGGCAAAAAACATCATAATCTTCTGCAATGGCATAATGTGCTTCTGTATACTCTTCTAGTCTAAATATGCCTGGAATGGCTTATGCGGACTGTGGTCTTTGGCATCCCGCATAATGTCAATCCGGATTGAATGGCCGCAATGCGTGGCAACCTACTGACTCACGCTGGCCAAACGATACATGGCCTCCCAAATAACTAACATAGCTCGCTCGTCACCCTTGGCGGTCTTGACGGGGCGCACTATACTATCAATTAATAGACGGCGCTTAACTCCCTGTAAATAACGGACCCATCCGGTGCGTCGTAACCACGGGGTGGCTTCGTCCAAATCTCCGGCTTGAATAACGGCCTCCTGGGCGACTTGCTCTTCGCGTTGATACTAGTGCACCTGCTGCATTAACCCACTAATCTTATCGGCATGGGCTTGGGTGGATGGGGCCTGCGCATTCTCGGCGGGCCGGGCAATTGGAATATAATAGGATCCAATTCCATTAGTGAACAAACGCTGGCATGAAATGGGCCGGCAATGCTGGTTAATCTGATCCTGGATAATATGGGCCTATCCAACTATGGGACGCCCGCGGCGGGAATATACCTGATATTGGTGCTCGGCTAACCAATGGGCCTTTATGGATCGGATCTGGCGGCATATATACACCTGACATTGCAAACATAACAATCCATCCTCATAAATAGTGATCCCGGCGATGGGTTCTTCGATCTGCTGGGGCCAACTGCTGATATTGGGCGGGTCTGCCATATAATCCCACTGCTGGACGGTGTCTTGGATATGCTGTGCCTATGTGGCGGGGATTCGATGTATGGTGCTGGTCAAATGGGCTCTGATGTGTGAATAATGTATGGCACACTCGCATGATCGGCAAATCAACGCTTCAAACTGTGAATTGGTAAAAAAAAAATCACTGGCCTAGTATTCACGCGGCATGCTGGATATGGAAATATATCAATATAGGAATACGACGGATTTCCGGCAACTGCGTGATAATGGATCATAACGTGGGCTCTAAACTGTTTGAAATTGATACTGATGAATGTTCAAATCTGTGCAACTCACCCCCTGAATTTTCGGCCTTGAAAAACAAATATAATCCTTGTTCTGATGCTAACCCTAATGGGCTGGGGGTTTCGGGCTAACTGGTGATGCTTCACGGTCGGCGGCTGACGTAAACCTGAACTGCACCCCATCAAAAAATTTTGGGGGATTTTCGAACCCCGGTAACCACATTAAAAACCACTTGGATTGGGCTCAAACTGATTTTGATCGGAGATTCATTCTCAATCTAAAACATATCAAAATCTGGGGTATCTATGTCACCAAAAACTTAAATGCAATGGGGGTGCCAAAAATTTAAATGCAATGGGCCCCTGACCCACTTTTTTTAACTATGGGAAAATAAACCCTAATAAATGCAATGGGCCCCCATTGCATTTACCACTCTAGGTGAGGGTAGGTCCCGCGTGCTCTACATACCGAAATATGCATAAGGCAAGGGATGGTACAACCCTAGCTACATAGCTAAGATAGATCGATCTAGCAATATCCACTTGTCTTCAGTAGTGCCCTTCAACTATTCTCCCTAGCAAATTCCAGTTGTAGTTTTTATTATTGTAGATCGGTGGGATGAGAAGTTATAAATTGAAGACCAAATGTCTTTCCTTCGGTTCTTGCATCTCATACAATTCAAACATCATTCTTCCTACTACGCAATTCTACAGCCAACATGAAAGCCGCCAAGGTTCTCTTTTGTGCCTCTCTCCTATCTGTTGCCTTAGCCCAGAGCTCGGCTGCCCAGTATGATGCCGTTTGTCCTGGCAAAGTCGCGGAGGAGGAGATCAGCCCGGGTCTCACGGTGCGATACACCTGTGACACTCTCGGAGACTACGATCTCTCGAGTCGGGTAAAAGGATCTACGATAAAACAATGCGCGGAACTATGCAAGGCAGCTGCGCAATGCACTGGAAGCACCTGGGATAGAGACTCGTCCTACTGTTATCTCAGTGGATCCTCAAAAGGCAAAGCCCGAACTGGTTCCATTTTTATGGAGGAAGTTGAGGAAGAAGATCCTTTCCCTGTTGAGGATGAGGATGAGGATCCTTTCCCGGAGGAAACATGCGAGGAGGCCAAAGAACGCCTAGAGGCTGAGGTGGCGCAGCTCGAGTAGGACCTTGTAGCTGCAGCTGGCAGCGGCTCTGGTAGTGGATCGGGTACTGGCGGTGGAGCTACGACTAGCTCTGGGCCTGATCGCTTTGGCAACAAATGTGAGTTTCTGTTATTGTGTCTATCCTGCAAATTTACTAATCGCAATAGGCCCTGGGGAGGGAAATATCTATACATCCCAAGGTAAAAAGTATCAGACCTATTGCTTCAAAGGTAAGTTTGCCATATATTCGTAATTAATACTATCTAACTTTGAATAGGCAATAATGCAGGTTACGCGGAAATTACGCCTTACCAGAGCTACATGACGGCTTCACAATGCATAGATCATTGTGCGGCTACTCCAGACTGTACTTTGGCAGCGACTGTTTTTACCGGATCTTGCAGAATCTATAAGGACAAGGGGACTGGTGCTCTTATTACCGCCAATAGTTGGACCTCCTATCTCGAGGTCTAACTTAGGCATCGAGAGGTGTCGCGACCGTGGATAAGTTCACAGTATGCAGCATGTGCCACTGATTTGGAAGTATATGTCCGCTTTTGTGTGCAAATGATATTTCAACAATATTCTGGAGGAGCGGGTGGTTTTATATATTGCGATTCTCTTGCTTTGGTCTGGCCGCAGTCGTTTTTCAACAATTCGTCATGCAGATAATCATTGGGCTTCTTAACATCAAAATGCAAAAAGATTACCGCGAAGTTCCTCCTGTTATAACGATATATGATATTTTCTCAATTTAATTTTACACAGTATAAGTAGATAAAGTATTTCAGGTGCCATATCTGCGGCGATGCAAAGCGGTCACCGACTTCTTCCGCACACCCTAACTTAGGTCAAAGGTCTCGACCTAAAACCTAGGCTGGGTCTAGGTGAAACTTCTATAACCTAGACCTAACCTAGACCTATACTAGGTTTTATTAGAGCCCTGACATAGCCTAATTCAACCTAATTTTATATAAAAATAAGTATAAAATAATTAAAAATTATATACTAGTAGATCTAATACCGAATTTCGGCCATCTAGATTTAGCTCAGGTTTAGTATAATATCCCCGGGTAACCCGAAAGTGGGTCAAAAAATTCCACAGACTTTTGCCGGGGATTGTACATTCTTCTGTCTTGTAACTTAAAACGAGTATATTTTTAGAAAGTGTTGGATAATAAGGGCGGTGATACCACGAGACTGTTCGTGGCGCTAACTAGGCTTTGCGTACCCCCTTAGTGTCTTATATCGCTTTATCTAACTGGTCGGTCCAAGTTGGACAAAGGAAGACTCTTAGGATAGACTACACACTGATGTAGCCTAAACGAGAACAATTCACGCTTTAACTCGTAGAGGAATGATCACACTGACTAAGGGTTGCTTTTACCCTTGTATATGCACGATAAGCAAGAAAGGAACTTAGGCAGTTTCCAAAGAGAGTGAAAAGTCTGATTCTTCTACCTAGTAATTCATCGCGTATTTATAGATAAATATACCTCGGTATCACATGCTTCGGACCAAAGGAAATACCTCAAAGAGAAGTGATAGAACTGAATGGAAGCATACAGATCATAGACAGTGATGTCATAGACAAGGCATAGTAAACGCACATCAAGCGGGGTAGAAGCAGATAGAATAGCATAGAAAAGAGCTAAGAATCTAGGCGGTATTGACCGCCTATACACACCCCCTAGCGCGAGTGCCATTTACCCCTAAAGAAGGGCCATCCACCCCCCAGGAGACTGGTCCCCCCTACTCTTCTAGGGCTAAGGTCCATTTGGTCACGTGATTGTCGACCATCTTCCACGCGCCAGGATATATAATGAATGTCTAACTAGGGTTTAGGGTTTCCTAGCCTAAACCTAGTTTTGTCCTCTTTTATGTTGAATAATAAGAGGGTAGATCCACTTATATATATTGGTCGATATTCCAACAATTATTAATCTTATTATTCTTTACCCTTACCTTATTACTTCACTTTATCCTTCCTTTATCCTCACTTTGCCTTCACTTTATCTTTACCTCTGCCTTACATCTATTGTGATAACACGGCCTTGTATGGGGATACGAACGGTCACGTTACCCTACTTTTTCTGCCATACGGCACCGCCCTTAAGGCATATTTCTATCCTTTCGTACACTTACTTAGCAATACACACCTTTCCACCTCCAGAATCTCATCTGGTAGCATGTCCTTGACTGGTCGACCTGCCACGGTCGGCCGGGAACGGAAGCATTGACGTTGGATATGCCTCCTTTCCTACAAACGATCACCCGAAGCGAATGATCGAGATCGCTTGCGTACGCGATGTTGAAGAGTATTCGAGTCTTTCCTGATCCTTTCTGGTCGCCATTCATCTGAACACGAAAGTGTACGCCCGGAAACTAGCGGTGTGAGGAAGTTACGTGCTGAAGTGATCGGCACCTCGACGACCCGCCGACTAGGGCTATGAACGGCAGAGATTGGTCAGAGATACTCATGTTGATACATATCACATTCGTATACGATCATCAGGAGGTGGTAAACAGATGATTACGTGTCCTTCCTGGCTCTGAAAGAAGACCCATCTTAAGAGAGGAAGTAAAAGACCCAGTGGAATTAACATTTTCAAAGAAACTACTTCGAACATTTACGTTCTTATTCGTTCACACCCGATTACACGCAATCATGTCCGATAACATCACCGAAGGCCCCCAGTTCCTACGTTCTATGTCTCCGGACACGGAGCATGCCCTACGTTCGTTGCCACCGGATAGCGCGGAAGTATTCTATCGTGCTTGGGCAACTATTCCCGAAGAAAGTTTGCCGATTCAGTCAATGCTGATCAAGCAGTCGGCTAGTATTCTAGCCGAGAACACCCGCCTCCGAGAAGCCGAACGGCAACGTATGGAGAACGAGCATGCTCGTGCCCAAGAGGACCCAATCCAACAGTTAGCGGAAACCCTCAGACGTATGCAAACTGGCCCGGTCGAAGGTACGCCAGACACTTCTGAAACCACTCGCTCTACGTTCTCTCGGGACGGTAGTGCACAGAAGGCCGTACGAAAGGCAGTGTTAAAGAACATCCGTCCTATCGAGAACTACCAGGGCGCGGTGAAGTCTGATGCTGCACGGAAGTATCTACGCGACTGCGAACGCTACTTCCGCGAGATATCTTCGTACGCTGGCGCTGAACCAGACGATAGTACCAAAATTATTCATGCAAGTGGACGATTGCTAAAGCGCGCTGCCGAAACCTGGCGTGCGTACACGGATCAAGTTGCCGGTAGATATGGTGAAGAAATCACTACCTGGCAAGCCTATAAGGATTGGATCAATCGCGAGTTTTCGGAGCACCTCGGACCCGAAAAACGATGGGATCGCTTCGCGAACTTAAGGCAAGGACAATCGTCATTCCATGAGTATGCGATCAATCTACAGCAAGCTGCGTACGATTGCGAAATCGATATTCCGGAACAAGTCCTGATCCAATACCTGCGAATGGGTGCGAACGTGAACTTACAGAAGCGTTGGGCTGAGGATCGAGAACAAGATCGCCCGACCATTCTGCAAGACGTTATTTAACGATTTATTGAGTTTGAGCGAGGAGCAATGGTCGCTGGTTATATTAACCGAACGAACCCGGACGATATGGAGCTGACTGCCCTACGGTCCCGTTCGAAAGACCTTTCGACAATTAAGTGTTATAATTGTGACCAAAAGGGACATTACAAACGTAATTGTCCGGCTCCGAAAAAGGAAAGCAACAGTGGGAAAGGCCAGTCAAAAAACTAATGCGGGCGACTACTTACGAAGCCTTGGCCGCTCGCATCCGTAAGGCTTCCCACACACCAAATTTCTCCAGTCTTGATCGTTTAGATCCGGCCGAAAGGGATCTTGGTGAAGAACGCCTAGATATATCACTAAATGTCTTGGGTGATTCATTGCTTTACTACACAATCGCGCTCGGAAACGCTTCAACGCCTCCGACCGTGACCGCTCTACTCGATAGTGGCGCGTCGCATACGTTTATATCATTAGACGTTGTGACCCGTCTGAAGGAGAATCTACCACCACCGAACCTTACGAATCCTATCACCGTTAAGCTCCCGAATGGAGAAGAGCTTCGTACGCGTGCGAAACTAAAGGTTCCGGTCCGGATCGGACCGTGGCGTGGAGTCTTAAAAATGTGGATATTGGACTTCCCAGATTTTGACTTCATTCTTGGAAGAGACTTCTTACAAAATGTTAACCCTGTGATCGATTGGGTCAACGGAAAAATGACCATTCGGGACCATCAGCAGACGCACGTTATTCAGCCCGCTGAGGTCCCCTGTTTTGAAGGAAACGCGAGAGTACGGTTGAACCTTATCTCCGCAAAGCAGTGTTCTCGTGCGATGCGAAAGCGACAGTCGCAAGGGGTATTCTTCGCTATTCGGGAGACGCCCGATCTAGAGCGAAAGGAGGCTTTCGGGGCACCAACACATTCGGATCCGCGGATGCAGGAGATCTTGTCAAGATATAACAAGGTATTCCGTGCGGAATTGCCCGAAGCACTCCCCCCAGAACGACCAGTCGCGCACGAGATTGACACTGGAGATGCCCACGCGATCAATATTAATGCGTACTCCCTATCGGCCGAGAAACTGAACGAACAGGCCCGACAGGTAGAGGATTTGATCAATCGTGGATTAATCCGTCCGTCAAGTAGCCCTTGGGGATTCCCGGTGATATTCGTGAAGAAACATAACGGTTCATGGCGTATGTGTATCGATTATCGGGCCCTCAACAGACTTTCGGTAAAGAACGGTTACCCATTACCGCGAATCCAAGAGCTTTTGGATACGGTCGGGACCGCAAAGGTGGTATCGAAGATTGACCTCACATCCGGGTACTGGCAGGTACGGATGGCTGAGGATTCAATCCAGAAAACCGCATTTAACACCACATGGGGTAAGTACGAATGGCTTGCGATGCCGTTCGGACTATGCAATGCACCCGCAACCTTCCAATCGACTATGAACGATACCCTTCGTCCACTTTTGGGCAAGTGTGTAGTCGTATATCTTGATGACATCTTGATATTTTCTCATAGCTTGGAAGATCACTATGATCATGTCGATCAGGTGTTATCGTTGCTGGACTCGCATAAGCTATACGCTCAGCCCCAGAAGTGTCAATTTGCGACCAACGAACTTGAGTTCTGCGGACATATCATTGGAAATGGACAGCTTCGGCCTTTACCGGAGAAGGTCACGGTCGTACGCGAATGGCCACGACCGCGAAACGTCCATGAAGTCCGCCAGTTCTTAGGTTTAGCTACCTATTACCGTCGCTTTATCGAAGGATTTGCTGCAATATGCGTACCACTCCATAGTTTACTGAAGGAGTTGGACGCATCTATCCGACAAAACAAATTCCGACCCATTCGATGGACAATCAGTTGCGAAAGTGCCTTTACGAGACTGAAAGAGGCTTTGACGAACTCGCCCGTCCTGTCACAACCGGACCGCGATAAGCCTTTTCGGATCGAAACAGACGCGTCAGAGTGGGCTATCGGTATGGTTTTGCTCCAAGCGGACACGAATAACCGCTTTCACCCTGTGGCTTTCGATGGAAGGAAGCTGCAAGGTGCGGAGCTAAACTACCCAGTTCACGAGAAAGAACTACTAGCCATCAAGGAAGCTCTGCGCATATGGGACCGTTATATCGAGAACGGCACCAAAACAACTATTGTCACGGATCATGCAAGTCTTCAATACTTGCAAACGACCACGACCTATAGCAAACGCTTAGCTCGTTGGGTCGCCGAATTTCAGGAATATGACCTGGAAATTCAGTATCGTAAGGGTTCAGAAGCTATCGTGCCCGATGCAATCAGTCGGAGGCCTGATTTCCTGGGAGATGGCCCGGCCGATGTTTCGGAGACCCGACCGATATGGGATGCGTCACTGAACGTGGTGCGTACGTTCATGGGCGTACCCGAGGAGAAGTGGTTGGCAGCTACGGAACGGTATCTCGACGATCGTACCCTTCCGGTTGAGAAATCTATCGCGAACGCAGTGCTGAAACATGCAGGGAACTTAAGTTTTCGAGAGCTTTCGGACCCGAATCAGTCGACTGTAGCGGTTACTCGCCAATTAACCTTCACCCATGGGGATGGGGTCCGAGCGCCTTATTTGGAACCCCGCCAGCGTGGTGATTTGGTGGAACGCCTACACCAGGAGTTCGGGCATCTTGGTCACCCGGGCTTGAATGGAGTCATTCGCCCACGAGCGTGGTGGCCGGGGATGCGCCGCGATGTCGAAGAAGCTGCGCGAACTTGTCCGAATTGTCAAGTTTCGCAGGGACTGCGGAAGAGCCTCGAACGCGAAGTTTCGCAACCGATGGTGACCGCAGGACTTCAGCCGTTTGAAAGATGGGGAATTGATCTGATCGGAAGGCTACCTACGACCCCGAATGGTAACCGCTGGATAATCACTGCAATCGATTATGCGACGGGTTGGCCTGTCGCACAAGCGGTGAAGGATGCCACCGAAGAAGCGATCGGACTATTCCTTTTCGAAAGGATCTTCGTGCACTATGGTGCGCCGAGGGAGATCATTTCCGATAATGGCCGAAACCTCCTAGCCGGAGCCGTACGCTACTTTGTGAAGTTGCTACAGACTCGGCATAGGACGACGACTCCTTATCACCCCCGTACGAACGGGAAGGTGGAGAATTTGAATGGAATTCTTGGACGGATGCTTACTAAGTATCTAATGAATAAGCCAACGAGGGCTTGGGATCTATATCTACAGCAAGCATTGTTCGCTACGCGCGTACACGAACATGCTGTTACTAGATTCAGTCCATTCTATTTGGTGTATGGAGTTCACCCGCGAATCCCCAGTGATCCGTCCGATGGCTCAGGAACGGAAGCGTTACGCACCGATGCTATCCGAAACCTAAGCGATGCGCGCACGAAAGCAAACGAACTGCTACTTGCGCGAGCAATCAGGACGAAGCGTGTACGAGACAGCCTCGTCACGAAAACTAGCTTCCAGCCGAACGACTGGGTTTTGATTCGGAACGAGACCGGGAAGAAATTTGAAAGCAAGTGGTTCGGACCCTATCAGGTCCTCCAGTCCCACCCGCTCGGGACTTATGCTTTGGCGGAGCCTAACGGCCATGTGCTCCGTACGCTTATCAATGGATCAAGGTTGCTGGAAGCGAACGTGGATGATCCAACGACGTTATGGACATCCTCGGCAGCCCGTATGGCCCTACGTCGGGCCCGAATACAGGTTGAGCGACCCGAAGAGGTCCGCACGATCCTGGAGATTGATAAGGATCTCCCCAACTATTCAGATCTATCCACTTTTACCAGGAAAGAGTGGGAAGATTTCAAGCGTTCAGGCGCACGCTTTGATTCAGTGGGGGAGGAGCTAGCTACAAGACGTGTTATTGCCAAACAAAGGGCAAAAGCACGACGTCGACGAACGCTACCAGCAGAGGCTGAGCAGCAGAAATCGGACTCGGACGAATGGAATTCGGAGGCGAACGACTACGAATCCGAAGCTTCTATATCGCCGGCCGAGGACAATGAGGAAGACGTTTCTCATACAAGAGTTTCGCAATATCGGGACGCTGATACAAGCGAACGGGAACTATTCGATGGACCATTTGCGGTTGTGATACCATCGCGGTCTACGAATTAGATTGTTACAGTGAAAGTGTGCGTTCGCGCATGACTCAAACAATTTGATTGCATAATCGGACATAAAACAAAAAAAAAAAAAAAAAAAAAAAAAAGCAACAAAAGCAAACGCGGCTATTTACAAAAGATTTATCGCCATCATATCATCATTATCAGAAAAACAGAAAAACAAAAGTATCCGAACAGGACCTTTAGTCCACGTTCATATCGAAGGGATTGCCCTCCACAACTTCGTCCTCGGACGGAGAAGGGGTGTCGAACTGTTCATGTTTGTCCAAGAACGCAGTAATGGCAATCATATCGTCCTCAACCCGTTCAGCAATTGTCGAAAGTTCGCGATAGACCGCGCGAATGCTGGCGAAGTTCTCCGCACGGCCAGCCGCAATGAAATCGGCATCGGTCGTGGGAGTCTTGTACCAACGTGACTGGAAAGGGACGACAGGACGCGGACGAGCAAGAACTTGCGGCGAGGCAGTGATGCCAGACGTGGATAAAGGGGACATTTGGGTAGATCTTGCGGACAAAGGGGAAGCAGGCGAAGCCTTTCGCTTGCGACTCTGAGGAGTCGAACGAGAACTGACAGACTGCTTCCGAGGAGTTTGGGGCTCGGCCGGGAACGAACGGGCAGCTCCAGAAGAACGAAGGAAAGCACTGTCAGGGTTTTGTGCGCGAATGAGGGTGAGGACCCATTCCGGTAGCGTCGGAGTCGAACGGAAGGAACAACTAGTTCCGTTGCCGGAAAAGTTGCAGTTCGTGCAGCCGCCGTTGTTGAAGGGAACACCACCATGCACCAAGACACGACAAGTTACGAACGGACCCGAACCTCGGGCACAGTTGTCACACGACTCGCCAACAGGAGCGATCGCGGCAGATTGGTGAATCCGGGCGGCACGAAGGGCAACAATCGTCTTGCAATCCCGGGGATTGTCACCACGCCAATCGACACTGGACAGAACGGGAGCATCCAGGATGGAATACTCGAAAGCAGTGTGAAAGGTTTCGGTGATAGGATTGTTGTTAGCATCCAGGCCGACGAAGGAACGAACGGGCTTAGCCGGAGCAGGAGACGAAGGAACGGGAACGATCGGAGGAACCGGAGGATGCGGAGGAGCAGGAGGAACAGGAGGACCCGGACGGGCACGAGTGGGACGCATGCCACGGCGGTTGGCCATGGTGGGCGACGCGAGGCGAACGGGCAAGTTGGAAGTTGCAAAGAAAAAGAAAATGTTTTTGGATTTTGTTTTGTTTTTGATTGATTGGATGCCTGAGGACAGGCGAACGAGCAAGGCTGGAAACGAACGAGAAGAGAGAGTTGAGATCAGAGAGGGTGAAGAAGAAGAAGAAGTTGAAGGCGAACTTTCGCGCGCTTTTATGTCCAGGGACAACAAACGCGCACGATGAAGTGATTCTCCTAATCGGGCCTTTCTGATTCACTTCCGATCCTGCGCAAACGCGCGACTTCATTGATCCCACTGATCTTATTGATCTTATTGATCTTATTGATCTTGTTGATCTTGTCGTTGATCCTGCTGCGGACGTGATCTACAACGAACGGCTCCAATTGGTCGAGCTTAATTATTGACAGGTCACGTGCCACCCCGGATCACCAAGATGCCGCGGACTGACCCGAACTTTCGAGGGTTTATGTCGGCGCCCGTGTTTACCTTTATGTATTCATTGTTGACGCGTCCATTCGCGCGCGTGTCCTTTGTTTATGTACGCGTCCGAATGTTGTTGTGATGTCCTTTCACCATATACATGCAGACTTGGTGACGTTCGAGGACGAACGCTCCCATGTCTTACCAGTTTCCTTTGTTGTTATTATTTATTTGTTACATTGCTGGTACGTGGCCACTATCTGGCATGTTCGTGTCTGATGCCTTCCATATTCGGGTATCCTGAGGACATGATCCCGTCTAGTGGGGGAGGATGTGATAACACGGCCTTGTATGGGGATACGAACGGTCACGTTACCCTACTTTTTCTGCCATACGGCACCGCCCTTAAGGCATATTTCTATCCTTTCGTACACTTACTTAGCAATACACACCTTTCCACCTCCAGAATCTCAAAAAGAATAAGATAGAGTGCAAAGGGCTTATACACTCTAAATGAGCACAATCCACAATCCTCAAACAAAGGACTAAGCAGAAGGTCTTTCTAAGCAGATAGAAAGGGATAGTAGAATATTTGAAGAGAGTGAAAGGTCTGTCATTTCTACTTAGTGTCTCGCGCGTATTTATAGACAGAAAGTGGTTAAAGTCACATGCTTTATATCAGATAAACAGAATAGAATCAGGGAAGGAAATGTGATAGAACTGATGGCGTGATGAGGGATATGTCATCGATCTGGTGGGGTAAAGAGGGGTAAGCGGTTTGGAGGGGTAAATCATGTTCGCATTTCTTTTCTTCTTCTTCTTCTTCTTATGTTGAATAAGAGGATACCTTCACCTAATGTAGCATTGGTCCAAATTCTAACAGAAAGGCTATTCAATTTAGCAAGGGATATCTGTCACTACCGCAGAGGCCGTCTAAACGCAACAACAATCCAGGATATCATGATGTATTTATGCCTTACCTAATTTGAGATAGAAGATAAATAGCTTGAACTAGCCCGGATCCTTGAGGTCCCTGAAGAGGGTGAAAATGAGCAGATTTCAGCTAGTATAGAAGGTATTAATCCTATTAGTGACACTGAGGAAGGTGACGGGGAAGCGAGGGTATCTATACGGGCAGGGAAGAGACGAAATAGTGTTTTAACTGATCATAAGAGTGAAGAAAGTGAAGATAATAGTGGTATACCCTTAATAAGTCAAACACGTCACTCTGGAAGGGCAAGGAAGGTACCAAAGATCTATGATAGGTTCGAAATTAGTAAATAATACATTCTTTTGGTTCTTTTTATCTTATCTTTTAAGCTTAATTAAAGACTTTATTATGTAGAATTTTACCGCTCGAATACCTAGAATACTGTATAAATTGCATAAATTATGTCTCTTAGTATCGTGGGCCGCCAAGAGGCCCATGGGCCGGCCCGTCCATGGACAGAATAAGCCAGCCGTCCATGGACAAAAGTTCCGGCCCATGGGCCATGTCAATGTCTAGTAAAGAGGGGTAAGCGGTTTGGAGGGGTAAATCATGTTCGCATTTCTTTTCTTCTTCTTCTTCTTCTTCTTATATTAAATAAGAGGATACCTTCACCTAATGTAGCATTGGTCCAAATTCCAACAGTTTGAGATTACCGTCGTAGGATTCAGGGGTTAACACTAGTGTCCAGTTTCATTTTTATCCACCACCGAGCATTTCCCAGCGATAGGGTTTTCCTAACAGCCATCCAGTGTACATCCGTAGCGTGAAGGATATATATCCACATACACCATAAGTGAAGCCCCAGGACGCACCATTGCCGACCAGTATTTCATCCGCAATCAAGAATAGGGGGTTGCCATTTGTCGCCAGTGCGAGTCTAGTAGTCAAAAACCGGCTCAAAGGATAGGCTTATATAAGTAGTATTGATATATATTATATTTTTCCCTATCCCAATCTATCCTCTAGATTATAAAAGTAAAGACTATTTATTTTAAGCTATTTAATTAGATTTAATATAGAGGTTTAAAGTTGCGATCCCGAGACGGGTATATTTGGTCCAAAGTTCCTAAAGGGGTTAGCGTTTGGTCCAAAATTCCCAAAGCGGACGTGGTCCAAAATGCAGGAGTGACCTTATGTATTTCGGACAAAGCTATTCTCCTGCATTTCGGACCAAGCTTGTTAGACCACGCAGTAGTCTCCAGGTCAGGATGGGTAAGCGAGGTAGACACCTTCATATGCGTGTAATACAATGTAGTGGATTGTAAGATAAACTGAACGCTGGCCCTTCTAAGGTCCAGCGGGGCTTCACTTAAATACAGACTGGCCCGGCTGCGGGCGGTGAAGCCCAACAACATGATACTGCCATGGCATCTAAGTATGCCTCAGGCCGTAGTTGGTATCGTCAGTCAGTGGTCCTGACGCCCTCATGGGACCGGCGGTCAGGGTCAGTAAGGTTGGACCCTGACCCTCGGAGCTGCGGGTGGTGGTTCCTGATCTTGGACCCGCGGGGCGAGTGAGTGCTAGGTCTAGCCTATGGCACACCCACTCCTTTTAGGTGCACTGACTAAGGCACGACTAGGGCGTTTCTCACTACAGTACACAGTCCCCTAAGAAGTCAATTATTAGGGGACCGTGTACCCGAAGTGGTGTGGGTATGTTATCGGATTATTATTTCTTATGCCAAAAAGCGCTTTTCCTAGAAGCAAAGAGTAAAAGTAATTGTTTTTTGCTAAGATATGAGGTGGTAGAATATCGCGTTTACTATAGTTTTTGGACATAGCCCTTAGGTTAGCCACTCGCTTACGAATTACGTTAGAGCATATCTTGCGAGAGATTGACAAAGACAGTTTGTCTTAACGTAATCCATAAGCCATCCGCCTTAGCAAGCCATCAGCCACCAACCAAACACCGTAGTGATTGCGATGAATTACATCTCCAAAGATTCACCACTCATGATTTAATTTGAGGCTATAATATGATATTATATTCTACTACACTTACCTTTCAGTGTCCTATTATATAAGAAGCGTTACGTTATCATAAAAGCTCGCTACTGATACCGTTGTATAATATTTAGTAATTTTTAGTAGTTTTCAGTAATTTTCAGTGAAGCGGTGTAATATTTGATTACTTTTTTCTAGGTTGATATAGCTTACTTTGGGCTTAGGGTAGCTGGGATTATTGATATAAGTCTGAACTATTAATGGTTATTGAGATATAGAGACGTGATTTATCGCAATTACTATGGTGTTTGGGGGATGGCGGATGGCTTGTGGATTACTTTAATAGGGGTTTGAAACCTAGTATCGTTCTCTGCCGAGGCGTCTGACTAGATAACTACTTAAGTATTTTTTGCCTGGGAGTATAGAGCCTTATATTTGCAAGGAAGCGAAATGGGCGGAGACATTACCCAAATGGACAACCCTAGTTGTCGCAGTACTCCACGTAAATTGGGGTAGTGGGCAGACATCATAGGGTCAGTATCGAGTGATCCGAATTTGCCATTATATAGGGCGCTTGGCACCTGTTTTATTGTCGTAAATTTCACCGAACGGTTTGGACATACTAAGCGGTACTGGTACAGGGTTTCAAACAAGGGAAGCGGCCCCAAACGGTAGCGGCCTGGGCACACTAAGCAGGAAATATAGTAGAAAGTTCTAATAAAGACGTCACTGGAATTCAGCTCAGAATGTCTTTGCTTAAGCAGGGCAGAGAAAAATATTGCTGCTGGTATTGGGGGTCACGGAGTATTAGGAAGTGCACGGACATTAAGACGGGTGGGGATCAATAGCTAATAATATCTGATAAATACAATTCTCCTTTCAGGCCCCCCAGGCCCGAGCCCGAGCCTCAGCCCCGAATAGGTCGTATAGACAAGCCTCGTCCTTAGTTCCTCGCTAAGCATTCGGAGTCTACACCAATTAAGAAGGAATTTATCAAAGTTATCACAGCTCCGTGCGTAGGGCTTTTTAGCCCCAGCAAGCTCCTTAGCATCCATATCGTCTATAAAAGGTAGGCATAATCCATATTCAGAGTCTCTGAACGCGCTCAATCAATCATTCATAATTACTCTTACCTGGTCCACTTGAAACTCGCAATGCCATCCTTTAAGAGTCTTCTGCTCATAGCCCTCTCCCTTGCGGCCACTACAACGGCCTGCCCACAGGGCTGGGAGGGCAAGGACGATCAATGCTGCTTCGGCTTTGAGCAAGACTCGGCCGACGGCAATTATTGCTGCGTTGGCGGCAAAATGGGTGACATCTTTGCTACAACAAGCAGCAGTAGTGTTTCATGCTTCGCACAGATTCCTATGACCGCGAGCGATTATTCGCAACAGGTCTCTTCGGCATCATCGAAGTATCAAGCAGGTGCTACCACAACTCCTGCTACCAACGTGGCGACTTCTACAAGCTCGGGTTCTGCAGCTGCCACCGCCAATGCAGCTATACCGATTGCCACAGCTCAAGAAATAGTGCTGGGCGGTGCCGCAGTCATTGCCGGTCTTTTTGTGCTCTGATTAGGAAGGGGTTGAGTTGGCAAGATGTTATTGGATGGCCGTCCGCCACAGGAGCCAGGGGGCTGG